ACCAACCGCGCACCCGCTGGGGGGAGGTCCGGTCTACGCGCTCCGCCTGCGCCCTCGTCCCCTCCCGCAGTGCCTGGCACAGACACTCCTGGCTGGCCGGGGGGTTGGGGCGGACGGGGGTGCACCTGCTCCCGGCTTTGGTAGGGCCCCAGGGCCGTCAGCAATGGAGGACCCCCCCCCGGGCAGGAATAGTTCCGCCCGCCTCCGCCCCGCCCACTGCGCGGGGCGCGTTGTTGCGTGCGCGCGCCGAGAGCTGGTCGCTAGGGCCTGGTGGTCCCGGGTGAGTGAGGCTGCGCCGGGGCCCGGGTTCTGCAGGGTGGACCCACTGCGGTCACTCGCGCCCCGGGCGCCCCGTGGGGAGGCAGCGCGCGAGACGGGGGCTAGGGTCGGATCGCCAGCCGAGAGACCCCCAGCTTAGAGAATCTTAAGAACGCGGAGACCTGGTTGCGCGCACAGGCTCTCTCGGGTCAAAAAAACCAAAAAGGGGTTCCGGGGATTCAGATTCGTGGCGACCCCGTGTGTCCACAGGGTCGAACTGCACCGTGGGGAGCCTCGGCTGTCATCTCTACGGGAGCAGATCATCAATCTATTCCCTTGCGGCGCAGCTGCGTGGGTTTAGCTGCCAACTTTTCTGTCGTCAAGCGCAAACCACTTGCAAACCACTTTCGCGCCACCCAGGGATCCCTGTCATCTCATCCAATGCGCAAATTCTCTTTCCACCACTCCCTAGGCGTGGCCCACACTGTGACCTCCCTTAGCGCCTGGATTGTGGCGTCTGTGAAGTGCACAGAGTCGAAGCTACTTGACGGGGGCTGTGGGGGAGATTAAATGAGAGGATGCTTGTCTACCACTTTGCAGGAGGTAAGCTCGCTCATTCACCCACCTTTATATATATGTATATGTATATACACCCGCCTGCCAGTCCCTGCCCTTGTAAATAGACACAGTGACCCCCGCCTGCACAGGCTGCCTGCCATACTTTCCTGTCCAAGGTCCACCGGAACATGACCTCTTCATGCCCTCTTTTCCATCCTACCCAAATAAAACAAAGCAATCCCTTTGGATGGAGTAGAACTGCCCGCATGGGTTTCCAAGACTTTCCCAGTCGCTGCTGTCCTTGCTGTTAGCAGCGCTGCCCTTACGTAAGGACTTACTGACCACTCAGCTGTGTGCAGGCAAACAGTCCCTTCATTCAGTTAATTCTCTCTCTCTCATTCTCACATACACACCATCATTATAATAATTAGAAGCACAGCAACAAATTGTCCTGGGGTTGGCAGCCCTGAGAGACCCAGTCAGGGGAGTCAGTGGGGTCGGGAGCTGCTGCTGTGGCCCTCATGCTGACCTGATGTCATCCCCTCTCCCAGGCAGGGACTGGCAGACAGAGCCCGCCCACTGTAAGCCATGAGGGCCCCCCCAGTGCTGGCCGTCAGCGGGATGCAGACCATCCGCCGTCAGCACAGCTGCCACCGGGGTGGCCAGCGGCTCAAGGCCAGGGCGTCCTTTGTGGATGAGACGCTGTTTGGTAGCCCTGCGGGGACCCGGCCCAGCCCACCGGACTTCGACCCGCCGTGGGTAGGAAAGGCCAATGGAGCCGGGAGGCTGAGTGGAAGGGTGTCTCGGGCCTCGGACGCTAATAAGAGCTGCGAGAGCACCCCACCCAGGGGCAGCACCCCAACACTCACACCAAGGAAAAACCACAAATACAGGTACCTGTGGGGGGGCTGGGCCCAGCACTCACTTCAGCCACCTGCAGCTCGCCTTTGTGGGACCTGACTAGCCAGATCTTCCAAGGGCCCCTGATGAGGTGGGGGCCCCCAGAAACCAAAGCCCTTTGAGAAGGATGTTCCTGGTCCCGGTACTGGGCTTGTCCCAGGGATCATAGCCGCATAGGCTTGGGACTCGGGGTAGGTTACAGGGGAATGGGGTGGGGAGGGCCGTACTAGGCTGGGCAGCAGGGCTTCCAGGGATGTGCAGGCAGTCCCCTATGCTGCTGGGGGTGCTGTGCCGGGGGGCTAAGATGCCAGGGACCTCTCTCTGCCCTCTGCCAGGCTGGTCGGCCACACTCCGTCTTACTGTGATGAGTCTCTATTCGGCTCCCGGACCGAGGGCGCCGGCTGGGAGGCCCCATGGATGGCCAAAGGCGATGCTGCCAAGCTCCAGGCCCTCTTCTGGACACCCCCTGCCACTCCCAGGGGTAGCCACTCGCCCCGGCCTAGGGAGACCCCTCTTCGGGCCGTCCACCCAGCTAGCCTCGCCACTACCCATCCCGGTGCGGTGGCTGCGGCAGACTCCTGTAAGCTACCTTTGGCGGGGTTTGGAGCTACAGAGCCAGTGCGACGGCCACGTTCCCGGTCCCTCACCCACCTGACTGTTCCCGGCACCTCTCGCCCGCCCACCAGTGTCCCCCATGCCAATGGGCCTCGGGACCCCAGGCCTCCCCTGTCCGGAGTAACCTCCCGGAGCCCCCTGACTCCCAGGGCTCCTTGTATCAGCACGTCAGCACCAGCCACCCCCCGGCGAGGTGGGGCTCCCCAGAAACCAAAGCCCCCTTGGAAATGAGGTCCTTGGCCCTGCCATTGGGTTTGCCCCAGGGACGGGGTGGTGTGGAGGGGCAGGGGGCCCAGTGCCATCACCCCTCTGCTGGCAGGCTGCAGTGGCTCCCTGCTTCGTAGGTTCCCTGATGTGGA